CACCTCCTCCACCTTCCTGGGGCGACTGCCACCCCCTGCCCCAGCCCACCCCCTCCCATCCCCAGTCAGGCTGCCCGCCGGCTGGGAGGCCAGGCTTGGGCGTGGGCTGCGGGACGTGGGGAGGAAGAGGCCCTGCCCTCGCGTTCCCCGGGCCTGGGGAGTGGCCTGGACTGGACTGTGCTGACTCCCCACGCGTGAGCATGGGTTTCCAGACTGAGAAGTCTCAGGCTCTGTATTTCCAAACTCTGGGGCCAGCGCCTTCCATTGGGCAGCTGCATCCAGCCTGGCGGGCTCCGGGCGTCTAGCTTGAGTGGACTGCCAGGCCCCCGGCCCACACGCGGCCCCGGGGCTGGCAGTCCTGGGGGGGAGGCTGGGGAGCCGCGCAGCTGGGCGCTGACGTGAGCAGAGCCTGCGGGTGCTGCTTCCGCCTCTGCCAAGGCCTTATTTGGAGACGCTTCCGCTCCAAGTGGGGCCGTGACTGGCACACTCAGAGTTATTCAGAGGCGCCCCTCCTCTCCTGGCTATTTTTAGGGCCTGAGAAAATAAGTCGGGGAGCCCACTGCTCCCTGGGCCTGGAGAAGTGCCGAGCCAGAACGCCAGCCCCGAAGGGGGTCTCGGCCGAGCTGCAGGGGAGACCGAGGACCAGTGGGGAGGGGCCTGCCCAAGGTTGAGGCCGCCTGCTCCAGGAGCTCACGGCCAGGAGCAGGGGCCAGCATCGGCTTGCCCCGCATGGGGACTCTCACTGCCTTGGGCCCCTCTGCAGGCCTCTCTGAGCAGACTCAGGCAGAGGCAGGGATGCTGCAGCGGCTAGCGGGCAGCAGGGGAGAGGACATGCCAGAGGAGGTCCCGCCGGGGCCAGAATCAGCCCACCGTCTCCCCGGGGGGTTCAGGGAGGGGACTGTGGAATCCCACTGGCAGGGGCTCTGAGACCTCCTTTGCTATAGGCAGCCGGTTTCAGAACCAGAACATGGGCGGGGGCCTTGTGCCACCCACCCCCACGAGCACTGTACTCTGAGTTTTGGGGCGGCTCCAGGCAGAGCCTTTGGTCCCCTCCCCAGGGCCTAGGGGTGGGGTTTTCTCAGAATAAGGCCTTCAGTCAAGATACCTGCTGGGTCCTGGGGAGTTCAGCGGGAGGCCCGGTCCCCCAGATTTTACCTCTGTTCGAAAGCGTGGATGGCCTGGTCACCTCCCAGGGAAGCAGGATGGCTGAGACAGGGGTGGGTGGCAATTTCTGGGCTTCTCAAGTGGTACCCCAGCTGCCCTGTCACCTCGGGATCCACATGGAGAAGGTTCAGGGAGGCGGTGGTTCTCCGGGTCTTCCCTCCCCAACACAGGTCACCGCGAGCAGGTGGGGCAGGGCTGGGAAGGACACTGTGAGCCAATGGGAGGTTCTGGAACCAGCGCTGGAGTAGGAAGCACACTGGATTTGCGTGGGAAGCCTGGGGGTGGAGGGGTCGATCCTTCCTCTTGAATGAGACCCAGAGGGGCCAGCGGGGGCTAGGAGTGCTCCCCTGGTGGTCATGAGCAGTCCAGACGGTGATGGGGGAGACGTGAACTGAGCAGGTAGCTGCTGGGGACAGGAAGCATTCCCACTGCACCACGAGGTTAGACCGCCGGGAGGGCTTCTGACAGCAAGTGTGTCTGCGCTGGACAGGGGCCAGGAAGTTCAGAGGGGGAGAGGCAGGTGGGAAGACTTAGAAAGAGCCTCTACCTGCCTGGAGGCGGGCCCACCCCAGGGAAGGGTGGGGGCCTTTGTTGGATGTGCCTGCACTGTTGGCGCTGGTGACAGAAAAGGGAGTGAGCAGACGGAAGCCAGGTGAGGAGGCCTCCCGTCTCCGGAGTGTGGGTGCTGGTGAAATGTCGGCTCCTGACAGCTCCACCCCCAGTGACTCAGAGGCTCTAGTCACTGTCCTTATGCACCCCTCCTTCTACCTGTCAACCCATTTGCCCTCCAGATGCTCCCAGTCTGTGGGTGTGGGGGACAAGGTGACCTGGTGAGATTCTGCTTTTCAATCCCAGAAACCCCTTCAGCAGCATAGATCATGGTGACTGCCATCATAGGCATCACCAGCACCAAAATCACTCCCCACCACTGTCGCTACCTCCATCTCCAACTCCACCATCATCACTACCTCCATCTCCGGCTCCATCCACAAAACCTGGGCTGCAGGTCACCACCACCCTGGGCTGCACACGTTCCTGCCCATCGTAGTAACCACCACTGTGCCCAGTCCCACCCCTCTCCCTTGGGCACGGTGGTGCTGCTGAAGGCAGACGAAGGGCAGCAGAGTAGACCTTCTCGGCTTCGTGAATGACAGGGTACATGGCTGCCCTTGGGTACATGGCTGCCCTTGGGTAACCCACCCATGAGGGCAAGGATCCGGGAATTAGAGCTGGGAGAGTGGGGCTTAGATGCAGCCTCAGCCTCACCACCCAGAGGGACTGGCGGGGTCTCTTCACCCCTGAGTGTCTAGTGTCCTCGTGTGCAGATGTCTCCGTCGGGGGCACAGCAGTCCGAACAGCTGGAGGAATATAGGGGTAAGCCGAAGGCTGTGGCGGTCCCAGCTCTGAGCACCTCACGCCCTCGGGCCTGAAACGCTGCCCAGCATGGGGCTCACCCCAAGGTGATGGACGGCAGACTCAGGCAGGGTCCTTAGGTTTTGGTGAGTCTTGTGGAACCCTCCCTGGCGGGCTTCTTGCAGTGAAAGCCAGAGAGCAGAGAGCAATTTCTGTGCCTGGTCACCATTCCAGGCTGTCAAGAGCACTGAAGAGCTGTGAGCATGGGGCCCAGGCAGGATAATGTGTGGCCTCTCCTGGAAGACATGGCCTTCTTAGAAAGTGGGGCTGGGATTGAGGGAAAACGGGGGGAGTCTGGTCACAGGTTGATCCAGATTCTGGTTGCTCTGAGCCCTGGTCACATGCTGACCCTGACTTTCATTCCACGCTGAGCCCTGAGTCTGACCTCACACTAAATCTTGACCCTGGTCCCACACCAAAAGCCCCGACACTGGCGGCTCATGCCATGAGTTATTCCTCTTGTGTGCACAGAGTGGGTGGCTTGGGTTCCACCTTGTCTTCAGTGTTTTTCCTTCAGTCTTTCCTTTGCGTATGGCTTTGGGCACAAACAGGGCAGGGAAGATGAGGGGACTGATCCACGACGCTGTTGGTGAGCCCTGTGCAGAACCGCAGACTTGTACACCCTGGCCCCACGCTCTGGGCCTCCTTCCCCAGGGGTGTTGCTGGGGCCCAGGACTTCTCCACCGGGACACCCTGCTCCTAGGCTGTCCTCGGGTGTCTGGCTTCCTTCCGTAGCAGCTGAAGACGAGGGAGGCAGCACAGGCCATGGTCCTCATCTGAATCTTCCCGGCCAGATGGGCTTGGAATTTGGGACTCTGGATTTAGAGCTAGCATGGTGCACGTGTGAGGCTCCACCAGACACCCCAGAGCGAACACGCTAATATGTGCAAGTGTGCATTTAGAGGTTCAAATGAGCTATCATGAGCTTCATTTTGGGTCACGTCTTGCTGGCCAATCTCACCCCACATTTTGGCTTTCTGGAGTGTTCAGGATTGGACTCGGGCTGTGTGCCCTGGGGAAGCAGTGGTCCCCAAGTGCTTGCTGTGCGAAGCTGGAGGCTTTGGCACCTCTTGGCTGCTGCAGGCCTCCTTCCCTCACTGTTGTCCACTCACACAGGGTCACAGGGGTCACTCAGCCCCTCCCAGCCAGGCAAGGTCCCCAGTCTCTCTCCATCCTTGGTCACTGTGCCCACTCACAGTGGGCAGCGCTCACCAAGCCCCTCCCCCATCCCCCTGCTGGTGAAGACTATGGGCGAGGGGGCGGGGTCACAGGTGACCCATGCCTGGTGAGATGCCCACAAGCTGGGGAGAGGACGGGCAAGGCTGCTACGGGAACCCTGTGCCAGGCAGCACCCATGGCTTTTCAGCTGGTTCTGACATTGCTTTCCTCTTGGATGACATCGTTAGTGGCCCATAATCTCAGGGTGCTGGGGCCCCCAAATGCACGTCTCCTCCGTGGGCGGGCCTCTGCCTGCTGCCTCTCAGGGCCCAGGGGGTCTGCCTGGCTGGTAGAGGCCCTGAGGCTCCACGGGGTGGGGCGCACAGCCCAGGGTGAGTGGATCGGCCACCCCTCCAACTGCAGCCCCACAGGTCTCCTGCCAGCTCCCTGCGGAGGCTCAAGCTGCCCCCTGCTGGAAGCACAGGAGAAAGGCAGGACCCAGAGTGTCCACTCGCTCAGCCTGCCTTTCAGAGCTCAGGCTGAGAAGTAGGTGGGTGTGAGCCCCCAGGCCTCCCCAGCTCTCCCTGCCCAGATGGAGGGCCATCGAGGTTGGCAGAGACCACCGCCAGCCCACCAGGGCCCCGCTGTGTGCTGCACAGAGAAGAGACACGCAGACAGGACTTGGGTTTTTAATTCTTTTTATTGAAGAAAAGAAAAGGAGAGAAAAAATAGATTCCCCACCCCTGTTTCTTCCCGGAGTGGGCTTCTGCTCCTGGCCCTGGGTGGCGTAGAGGAGAGGGCTGTGCTCTCCGCCTGGGTCTGGGGAGGGGCACCCAGGCCCTGGAAGGAGTTGGGGGGGGGGGGCTGGCTGCTTCCGAGGGGTGGGGGGTGTCTAAAAAACGGTGCCAGGCCGGCCAGGCCAAGCAGGCTGGTTCTCTGCTGCAGCAGCTCAGGCGGGCATCCCCGGAGAAGCTGGCCACGCCCGGCCTGGCCGTTGTCCTCGGCTGTCTGCCCGCCCGCCAGGGCTGGGCCCGAGGAGGGCAGAGTCTGAGGCACCTTCGGCCTCCGGAGCCCTGTGCCCACGGGGGCCGCCGTCTCCTGTCCCATCTGGCTCTGGTCCCAGCACTGCGGGCCTCTGCCTGGCCGCCGTCCGAGCGCCCTGAGGCCGGGGCGCGGGCCTCGCCCGCCGCCCACGAGCGTGTCTGTGCCCGTCCTGCGGCAGGAGCGGGCAGAGCAGCGTCCCTCGTCCGTGGCCCGGTGCGTGGCCGCCGCCCGCCCGCTCAGACCTCGGTTTGGAGGTCGATGATGTCCTGGCCCACCAGCGGGATGGTGGCGCCCGATTTCTCCCACTCCACGCTCCGCAGCTCCAGCGGGGATGGCGGGAGCGGCTCCAGCTCCTTCTTCACCCAGGCGGGCGGCCCGTGCGCTTTCCGGAGGCTCTCCCAGGGCCGCTTGTTGGGTGTCTGCTGCTTTTCTGGCTGCTGGTCGGTGGACAGTGGATGGGTGGGAGCCCATTCGGAGAGACATAGAGCAGATGGGGCGTGGAGAAGAGGAGGCAGGCGGTCAGGAAGGGACCGGGCAGGAAGGTGCAGGAGGCAGGGAGACCCAAGCACAGAGTGGGGAGCCTGGGAGCAGAGCTTTTCCAACCGCACAAGGGCAGCGACCCCCACCACCGAGTAAAGGGCGTGGAAGGACAGCCAGAGGCCCCTGCCTGCCCAGCACCCCTCGCTTGGCTGCTGCCGGCGCTGGGGGAAAGACTTGCTCAGGCTCGCCCAGGACAGGGTCAGCCCGGCATGCTGCCTACCCTTCCAGCCAGCCCTGGGACAGACCCGTCCACCCGCCCTGTCCCTCCAGGGTCTAGCACGGGCTGGGCCACACCAGTCCTGGGCAAAATTTGAATGAATGAATGAAATGAAGTAGGACCAGAGGAAGGAGATAAGCGCTTACCTAAGGGCTCACAGCCCCATCCACACCAGGCCCCCGCCCCACTCTCAGCTCCGCCCCCAAAGCCCCGCCCCAGGCCCCTCCTCCACACCTTGCTGTCTGGGCCCAACACGTCCTTGTCCTTCTCCGCGTGCTGTAACTTCCGGTTCAGGTCCTGGAACATGTCCTGGTGCCGCTTCCGTGTGTGCATGATTTTCTGCAGGGGGAGGGAGGCAGCGAGCCCTGAGCCAGGAAAGGGGCTGCCCTGGCCCCGCCCAGGCAGGCTTCTGGGGACTGGGCTCCCGATGCGGGGGTGCGGAGCAGGGGCTCCCCAGCTCGTCCCCGCCTGCTGTAAGGCCTGGGCCGGGTGATTGGGACAGGGTACACCAGGACCCACCTCAAAGTCCAGTTCCGCATACCGCGATTTCCGCCGCTGTAGGGAGAAGGGGTTGGTGCGCATTGGCAAGCATACGCTCAGATCCCCTAGACACAAGCTCCTGCCAGAGGCTGAGGGAGGCCAGGGCCACCCTGCCCCAGCCAACCCTTGTTCAGCCAAGCCCGGCGGACACATCTTCGAGTGCACTGAAGCTATGGCTCTCAGTATCCCGGGCCCTTAGAGGCTCCTCTGCTTGGAGACACCTGGCGACCAGGGCTGGGCAAGGGTGTCCAGTTCAGGCAGCCCAGGACACGCTCCCAGGGACAAGAAAACTGCGACACAGGGATGTAGCACTTCTGGTGGCCACATACCTGGAACCCTGGGGCTGAATCACCCAAGGCACAGGCCAGGGGGTGGGAGCCCGGAGAGCAGCGGCTGGGGCTCCCCGAGGGTGCTGGGCCTGGTTGGCTCCCCTCCCAACTCTGGGCCCTTGTCCTACAGGCTGAGCAGGGCTTGGGGGTCAACTCCAGGCCTCAGGCTGGCCTAAGGGGGGATGTGCTGCTTAACCACGGAAGGGGCTGGACTCAGTGTCCAGGCTGAGGGCTCCTGAGCCCTATGCGATCAGCGAGACCACCATCGAGGGTGACCACCTGACTAGTCGTGTCTTTGGCACAGACAAGACCGTGTGGGCCCGGCAGGTCCCAGGAGCAGGGCTGGAGGGAGGCAGACGCTGCCCCCTGAGGCAGGGCCCTGATACACGCCAGGCAGACAAGGGGGAGGCAAGGTCACCCCAGCCCAGGCCTCGGGTTCCCATCCTGCCAACAGGGCTCATTCCCACAGAGGAGACGCTGGCCTCCCGGCTTCCCAGGCCTGGGCTCCCTGAGTCTGGCTGCCACCCAACCTGAATGCCCCGCACCCCCAGCTGAGCCATTGCCTAAACCCACAGGGCTGACACGCCTGTGCCTTGCCTGCTAGGTTGCCCTTGTCCTGGGAGCAGCTCCCTGGTCCCCCTTACCTCCAGGGAGCTCACAGACAGCGTGGAGACATTCTCTGTCTTTGTCCCGGGCCCCGTGCTGGGCCCCTGGTGGGCAGCGGGCTCCCCAGGCTCCCCCAGGCTGGGGGGTGCTGGCTCCAGCGGGGGCGGCGGAGGCAGGGGCTGCTGGGGCGGCGGGGACAGGGGGCCCGCCACCGGGGGCCTGGCGGGAGGGCGGGCTGCGGGCCGGGAGCCCGGCGTCGGGCGCCATGCTGAGATGGATGAGGCGGGTCTGGGGCATCTGGTCGATGTGGATGCTGTACTTGGGCTCCTCTGGGGGCTTGGGCCGCAGTGTGGCCGTGGCCGTGGGCAGGATCACGTAGCTCGTGTCCAGGGCCTTCTCCTGGGCCCGGCTCAGCTCCGAGTCCAGCTTCTTGAAGATGTCCCCGTCGCCGACGAACGACGACTTGGGCACCCTGTCCTTCTTGAGAGTCAGCGAGTGGTTGGGGAAGTCGGGCAGGGGCCCGCCGGGGCAGCGGGGCGAGCCGTGCAGGTGCAGCTTGGACACGTTGGCTGGCAGGCTGTTGAAGTTGGAGGGCGCCTTGGAGTGGGCCAGCTTCAGCTTCTCCTCCTCTGGCAGTGACGGCCGTTTGAGCGTGCCCGTGATGGTGGCCGTGCGACAGGCTGCGATGTCCTTGTTCAGCACTGTGGGGACAGACGAGGGGGTCAGGGTGGCCAAGGGGAGGTGGTGCCGGGCCCCCCGGGTCTCAGCTGCGATGTCCTTGTTCAGCACTGTGGGGACAGACGGGGGTCAGGGCAGCCGAGGCGGGTGGCGCCGGGCCCTCCAGGTCTCAGCTGCTGACTCATCTGGGCAATGCTGGCCCCGTATTTGCTGCTGTGGGAGCTGGCACTCCTGTGTGCCTTCAGTGGGGGCTGGCACGCAGGGGCGCCTCCCCGCAGAGCACTGACGACTGCCACCCACAGCAGCTGGCGGGCGCGTGGGGGCAGCCCGTGCTGCCTGGCGGCGCGGCACACAGCCCCCCTGGGGGTGGGACCACACCCCCCGTCTCTCTGCTCTGCAGCTGCGGGACCAGGCTGCCTTGACCTCCACCTGATCTGGGCCGTGGCATCCCCACCACCTGCCTGGTCCCTGCCGGTCAGCTCAGCCTCCACCGGCCGATGGAAAACACAAAGCGATGGGCAGCGCCACCCACAGCCCACGGAGGCCCAGTCCGTGGGAACCTGCTCTGGAGGTAGCGCCCCCCCACCTCCCAACGCCGGCACTGGCGGTGGACAGGCGCCCATGTCCCACCCTGGCCCAGTGCGTGTCAGCTGCTACCTGCTTCCTCCTCCTCTGAGCCGCCTCCTCTGAGACCAGCGGGCACTGGCCCACCCTGGCCCTCCTCCTCGTCCTCCCCAACAGCCAGGGGTCCCAGGCCCCTTCTCTTCTCCCCCCCCCCCGAGTGCCAACACTAACACCCAGTCTGCAGTGCTGCTCTGCCCCTGGTCCTCCAACCAACCTACCAGCTTCCCTGCCAAACCCGCTCCCCGCCCCTTGTCTCAGGATCATGGTCGGGAAAGGCTCCCTCGCTGCCCCTCCCATGCGCGACCCTACCCTACGGCTGTCCACCTGGAGCCTGGGTCTAGCCCCGTGGGCCCCCGTGCAGATTCCCTGCAGGCCTCCCGGGCACTCGCTGGGGCACCCATCTGCCCTGTGCTGGCCTGGTGTACCCTGTGCCTCTCGAGGAGACAGGCCAGGCTGGGCCAGGTTACTAATGACAAACTGGACACTCACAAAGGCCAGCTTCACACAGGACCAGGCCCAAGACCCCAAATGCCCCCAAGCCTTGGGGTCACCTCTCAGGGAGGTTGGCGCATGAGACGAAAATTGAGCAGGAACCAAGCCAGAGGTCACCTCCTCCAGGAAGCCTTCCCGATGTCCTTCTGGCAGCACCTGACACTGCCTGCCCAGGGCTGGTCCCGCCCCTCCCCACAGCCATCTCTAGAAAAGATGTTCCCAGATGTCTGATAGATCAGAGGGAACAGAACCAGCTGGTCCTGGGTGGCCCCAACACCGGGCTCACAATACGACAACACCTGGACAGCTTTCTTTCATTGGGCAAGCGATTCTGTTTTTGCACTTGCTTCCAGCAAAGCTCATCACCTGCCTAAGGCTCACTGCTCCCACTGACGGCCCCCCAACCTGGAAGCTTGACCAGCCCCGCCTCCGTGGATGGACTAACAGTGAGGGAATGAAGGCAACACAGAAGGCAGGCCTGTGAGGGGGCAGGGGGGTGGGCCACCCTGGGGCTCACAGGAGGGATGGAGGGCTGAGGATGGGGGCACGCTGAGGGCGAGGAGTGGCCCAGGCTGGCGGTGGGGGAGACCCAGACGGTGCTCTCCAGTCCTGAGGGATCCCTGGGCACGGATGCCCCTCCCCTGCTGGGCCTGAGCCCCAGGACAGCTCTCTGACCCTGCGGGCAGCCTCGGGGGCGTGGCTGGGGGATGGGGGCCTGGAGGTGGTTGTGGGCGTGAGATGAGGACAGACAGTGGACAGACGCACGGAGAAAAGAAGAAACAGGGCCCAGGCCGGGGCCACCTGTCGCTCTCACCTGTCAGGCGCTCACCTGATCTACAGGCCAGATCCACGTCCTTCTCAAAGTCGGTCTACAAGACAGAGATGGGCAGAGTGAGGGTGGGCAGGCAGGGCTGGGCTGCTGCCCCGGCGCCACGCTGCCAGCAGGCTGGGAAGGAGGGCGGCCCCAGAGCTGTAGCCACACCTCAGTGTGTGTGTGTGCAAGCTCCGGAGGGCCGAGGGTGTCCACAGGCTCCAGGGTGCCCGTGGGCTGATGCGCTGACACAGAGTGAACCTGTGTGCTCCTGCGGGCCCAGGTGTGTGTGGCTGCATGCCCGTGCGTCTGTGTGTGTGCACGCACCCGCACACGTGAGCACTCTCCCTTCCCGGGCATCTGTGATTAGAACAGCTCGCTCACGCCCTTGGCCTCCGGTCCATCCAGTGGGATGGGACACACGGAGGACCCCATGCCGGAGCCCCTGCTGCCCACCACTCGTATGTCGGGAGGGGTGGGCATCACCCCTATGGCCCCCACCACAGCCCTAGGGATGAGAAAGTTGAGGCCAGCCGGCCCAGGACAGGCACAGTGGGGTCAGGACGCAGGGGTTCATGCCAGGGTGGGACCGGCCGCCCCTGCAGCAGCACTGCCCCCCCACCCACCCCCCTAGGCTAGGAGGTGGGGAAGGCGAAGTGGGTGGTCCCTGCCCCGCCCCCAGGGAGCCCTCTGGTTGGGGAACCTGGCTCGGGCCTCCCAAGCATGGCAGTGGCCTTCTCCTAGGCCTTGGGGACCCTGGGGGATGGAAGGGCCCTTAGTCAAGCCTAGAAGTTCCTTCCTGGCAAATGTGGAGGCCAGGTTGTCAGAAAGATCACAAAGTCTTTGCCCAGAGGTCAGAGGCCAGGAGAAGTGTCAGGGGATCTGGGACCTGGCTTCTGCCCACCCTGGGCCCATGCTTTATCCCTGAAAATGCCTCTCTGAGCCCAGCCCTGAGCTTCTGCCAAGACCCTGCCTGCGAGGTGGCCAGCACCCCGAAGACTGAACGAGCACTTCCCACCTGCCGGGGGCACCCAGCGGGCAGCAGGCACCAAATGACATCATGGAGAATTCAACCAGGACGCTACCAGGGTCTGAGCAGGCAGCTTGGTGGGGCTCAGGGAAGGCTCCCTGGAGGAGGTGACACCTGCAAAGTAGGCAGCAGGAGTAGGCAGGGGTGTGCGGTGCCTGAGACTGGACAGTGTGTGTAACACAAGAGGACCAAGGTCCTTAGGGGATGTGACTGTGCACAAGCTCAGGGCGGGGAGGGGGTGAGTGGGCGGGCAACGGGAGGCATGGAAGCTGCACGGACGGCTGCAGCAGTCCAACGGACGGCCGGACATCCAAGCGTGGTGTCCGGACAAAGGGCACGGCTGATGCCAGAGGATGAGCCCGGGGCGGACAGCAGCCCCGCCCATCTCCCTCATCCCTTGACCCGGTCCACGCCCCCGGACTGGGGCTTTCACCCCCACTGGGCTCGGAGGTCCTCCTAGTGGGCAGCTGGGGCCCGGCGCGGGTGCCGGCGGGGGGCCGAGCAGGGGCTGCCTGTGTCCTGGCCCCGAGCCCTACCATGAGCTGGGCGTGGCCATTCTGGAAGGAGCCGCCCGAGTCCCCGTTGCCCTCCTCCTGGCGGTCCACCACGCGGCACTTCACAGCGTCCTGGACCTGCGGACGGAGAGCAGGGGCAGTCAATGGCCAGCTATGCCCCCAACGCCAGGAGGCGAGCTCAAGTCCAGCAGGCAGGACCTCGGTGAGGGGCGGGCCTATCGCAGGCCACACGGACCCACGGGCCACGGCGGGGGTGGCTGGGGGCGCTCACAGGGGCACCCGCTCATCTGTGGGCCAGAGCGGGGCACGGCGCACGGGGCAGCTTCAACAGCAGCCAGCCAGGGCCCGGCCTCTGCTCTGACCTCTCCTCTATGGCCGTCTTGGGGTGAAAACTCAGAAAACATGGAGCTCTGGGTCCCTGAGAACATGCTGCAAGCCCTCCTGGCTGGAACCTGTGGGTAAAAGCCCACCACCGCCGGCCTGAGTCAGCTGGTATCCAGATGTGTCCTGAGTCACTGTGGCCGGCACGTCCCTGAATGTCTGGGGCCAGCTGGGGTCAGGCTCTCGCTCCCTTATCACCAACAACAGCGTGCTCCGTGGAAGGGATGAGCCATCATGGCCTCGGGCTCTTCAGACAGGTGAGAGAGGGCAGCTTCGAGTGAGGGGCCGGGGAGCAGGCGGCAGGGAGCCGGGGAGGAGGAAGCAGCCAGAGGAGGAGGAGACCCAGTTAGCCACGGACGATGCTGGTCTGCGTGAGTGGTAGCCCCGGCCACCACCTCCGCCTGCTGCACCAGGCGCGGGGACAGCAGTGAGCAGAGCGCCCGTGCTCAGGGCGCTGACACTTCAGAGCCACAGGGGGGTGTGCAGGGAATAAACGAAGGTGCAAGAGGCTAAAGCACAGAGAGTGGGGTGGGCTACATGCGGAAGGCTGCCTGGAGGAGGTGTCCTGAGTTACGGTAGGGAGAGGTGGGAGGAGGGCTCCCAGACACCGACCCAGCACACAGCCAAGAACCCGTGCCCACTGACCCTGGCCACTGAGCCTGCGCTACTGTGAGGACTGGGCAAGCCCAATACACACTGCCACCCGGCTGGTTAGGGTCTTGCTGGTCTCAGGGCCGTAGACACTTGGAACACACTCCCAGTCTCACACTCGCCGACTGGCCAGCAAACACCTGCTCGGCCCTGCTGCATGCCCAGTGGGGCAGGCCTGGCCCAGGAGACGGCGGACACGGGGGTACGGAGGACATGCTGTCCCCTGGCACGGACGGCCGCCAGCTCCCCATGTCTCGTGTCCTCGCTCCGCGACCCAGACTCCACAGGTGCTGGCGAAGACCCTGCTTGTGCCCGTCGGGACGTCCTGTGCCCACGGGGCCGGCATCTGAGTGCCCCTCCTGGCCCGTCCTCCCCAGCACAGCTGAGTGGGCACAGGCAGCCGGGCCCCCCTCCACGGGCCCCCGGAGCTCACCGAGGGTGGGGGAGGCCAGCCCATGGGTCCTCTGGCCCAGCCCTGCAGGCGCGCATGGGGGCTTCCAAACCCACCGCCTAGTGTCCCAAGGGGCGGCCCAGAGCTCCAGACAGCCAAGTCCATGCCAGCCCCCGTGAGCCCGCCCTCGGCGCGGTCCGCCCTCCATGGGACACCGTCACCTGAATCCACGTCTGACTTCCGCCCCTGCCCCCTCGGGGACACAGCCTCTGTTCCTCCATCTTTCGAGTGCTTCCGTCTCTACTCAACATCTCTGAGGCCCACAGGCTCTCTTCCTGACTCAGGACGTCACTCTGTCGTTGCTGCCTGTCTTGCTTTGCAGACGGCAAGGCGGCTGAGGGCCACGAGCCCGGGCCACTGCAGCCTCAGTCCATCCAAGGTGAGTGGGCACAAGCTACTCTGGGGGCTGTCCAGAGGCTCCCTAATGCGAGTGTGTGGGGGGCCAGGCCCAAGCAGGTGCTGGGCTGGGGGGAGTGAGGTTCTCTCTGCAGGGCGTCAATGTGGGTCCATAAGGTCACTTCCTCCTGAGCCGTCTCTGGCTCCAGTGCAGGCGGGCCCCGCCTGTCCTGGGGGAGGCTCGCCCTGGGGCCTCAGGGCTAGAGAGCGGACACGTGGGACCGACTGGACGTCTGTAGGTGGTGGGGGCACCACTCTCACGGCAGAAACGTCGGAGCTTTGCCCTGCTGTCTTTCCTACAGCAGGAGCCCCTGGAGAGGGGCATCCCCATCTCCCCCAGGTGTGAGCAGGGTGGGCAGTGGGCTTGGCTGTCCCTGCCAGGGCGGCCCCATCTTCAGCTCCGCAGGCCCCCAGGCCAGGACCTGGCGTCCAAGCCCAGACAAGAAGCTCCAGGCAGGGAGGCTGGGTGGGCCGCGCTGGCTCGGCAGGCAGAAGATGGATCGCCCCCGGGGTCTCAGGACGTCCTAGCACCGAGGGGCGCTCCGGCCTGGCCTCCTGGGCTGCCCAGCGTGCTCACTGCCTCCGCGAGACCCTGGGGTGGGCTCTCGTCCAGCGACGTTCGATGCTGGTGTGTCACACTCCCGCCCCCCAGGATAGGGACACGTCCCCTCTGTCGGTGCTACCAGCCAGGAGACGTTCTGGCCAGAGTTCGGTAAAAACCTTCTCCTATACCTTCCGGAGGAGCCCAGAAAACTCCAGAATGGGAGCCCCAGCTGCCCCGGGAGCCACTCTCACCTCTGGGCTCTTGGGGTGCAAGCCGCGCCTCGGCCGGGGCCAGCACAGGGAGCCAGGGAGCCTCCTACAGAAGCTGTCGTGTTGACTGAATCCCGGTTGAGTGCTGGACCCAAGTTCAGCCTCTCGAAGAGTCAGGGCCCAGGAAGCTGCCCCTCCCCCACTTCCCGCCTCCTTCCAGAACCTTCTGGCTGCGGGGAGGCGGTTTCCCACTGCCTCGGGGAGGCTGACCACTCATCCCCAGCATGGAGGGCAGTGCGGGCCCCTGGCCCCACCACGAGGCCCAGGGAGGGTGGGCACCCCCTGCCTGCCTACCCGCCGGCCCACCTCTCTCCGCAGGATGCAGTGCACCATCACGATGACAAAGCCCTCCAGCGAGTCGAAGACGGCGAAGAGGATCTGGAAGAGGGCGGACCTGCGGTCGGTGACAGCGAGCACGGCAGACATCCAGGTCAGCGCCAGCAGCGGCAGCACCACGCAGGAGCTCCACAGCGAGGCCCTGCGGACGCGGCGGGCGTCAGGGCCGCCCTGGAGCCTGCCAACGCGCCTGCCCTGGAGCGGGCCAGGACACCTCCCTTCCCGGTCCAGCGCCCCGGCTGCGCCCTCTCCCCCCACCGGAAAGACCCCCCCACACCCAGCCCGGCTGCCTCCTCTCCTGGGGAGTGGACTTTGCCAGCAATACCCCCAGCTGGAGGCTCACCGGGCAGCTGGGGACTTGGGACAGGGGTCCCAAGCGGCTGGGTGGCAGTGAGGGCTGGGGCAAGGGGTCTCTGGAAGATGCAGGTGCCTGACCGTCCCGGAGGCCCCAGAAGGGAGACACGCACGCTGCAGGGAGGGGTGAGCTGGGGTAGGAGGGGTCTCCTCCCAGGGCCCCCAGCCCCAGCCAGAGGCCCAGGGCCAGGACTGCAGGAGGACGCCACAGGGGAGGCGTCTGGCCAGGCCTCTGAGCGCTGAACAGACAGACAGGGTTGGGGTCAGCGGGGTGGGGGGCGGGGGACCAGAGGACTCCTCAGAGAGAAGGAAGGAGCAGAACTGCGAGGAGAGAAGACAGACAACAGACAGACAGGGCCGAATGGGGCAGGGACAGTACAGACAAACAGAACAGAGACGACAAGCGCGTCCCCCTCTTGGCGGGCCCTGCTCTGCCCTCCCCTGGGGAGCAGCTGCCCTGCTCCGAAGCCTTCACCCCTTCCTCCAGGAAGTCCTCCAGGAGCACCTCCGAGGCAGCCATCACCCTCTGCACCACCATGGGCTACATGGGAGGTCACACTGGGCTGTTTCCTTGTCCCCACAGTGGGGACACTGTGAGTCAACAGGCTGTGTGGGGACAGAAGGCGCGCCAGCAGGATCCTGGGGTGCAGTGTTAGGAAACCTGCCTGAAGCCCTGTCCCCACCACTATTCCCGCTCTCAGGGCCACTGGGCCTGAGGACCGCAGCTAGGGTAGGCTCTGCCCCGGGCCAGTGACTGCCCGCAGGGGCTCTGGCGGGACTCTTTCCCCAGGGGCGGGGGCAGCAGGGCCTCACGGGCCCTCTTCCCTCACGGGGCTCCTGGTCAGAAGGGGAGCCAGGAGCAGGTGGGGCAGGACCACGGGGCGGGCACCGGGGGGGGGGCTGGTGGGAGAAAGGCTGGGGTCCGCTCAGGTCCCCAAGCCCCGAGCCGGCAGGGCCTCCAGACAGCACGGTGAGATCCGCCACCAAAGCCACGCCGCCCCTGCAATGGACCACCGGTGAGGGGCCCAGCCCTGCGGGACAACGGCCCTCATCGGCCTGGACAGGACACAGTGGCCACACCTGCCTCCCTGGGCTCCACGTCCTCCCCCGCCCTGCCCGGCCATCTCCAGGGCCCGGGCCCCCACCCCAGGGACGGCCCCCCACCCTGGGGCACATTCCCTGGGCACGGTGGGCCTCCAGAGCTAGACCCTGGCCTCTCTAGCCGCCTCACAGGCCCTCCAGACGGCAGGGGCTGAGAACAAGGGGGCCAGGTGGAACACCCGGGCTGGGGACCTGCACCGCAGGCTCTGTGCCCTCCACGCCTGTCTGCCGTGCCCACACCTGGCCCAACGCCTCAGAGCCCACGACGGGGGCCCCGTCCTGGCCTGGGCCTGTCTCCCCCGCAGGGTAGGCAGGGCTCCGCGGTCTGCCTCCCCTCTTCCACGGCAGGCCCTCTTGGGCCAGACCCCCGGGCCCAGCCACCCCCTCATGTTCCGAGCAAGAGGGGCCAGGCCTCCCCCACCGAAACGCTTCATCCTGCTGTGAGTCATCGTCCCCCGGGCGGAGGCCTGGCATTGACAGCCAGGTGCTGCAGCCGGCTGGCAGATGGCCGGGGCCTGGGGACCCGTAAATTACTCAGACGCCTGTAGCCCATCCCCTGCAGCTTCTGAAGCGTTTCCACCTCGCAGCAAGGGGGGGGTCGTGCAGGTCCAGGCGTGATTGCTGGGCGGGTGAGGGGCAGGTCCACAGCTCCCCCATGGGAAAGTCAGATGCCCTGGGGAGGGGTCTGGGCGTGAATGGGGCCGGGCAGGCCCACTGCCGCTGACCTCCTGTGCGACCGGCCCAGCGCATCCCCCAGGGATCCGGGGACAGGCTCTCAGCACAGCCCGAGTCACAGCTGAGGCTGTCCACCACCCCACAGGCCCGCCTGCCTGCAGAACAACGGAGGGGCCCAGCGGAGCCCCAGTGTCCGGGCTGTGGACCCCAGCACGGAGGAGCAGCCTGTCCCCCTCCAGAGGGTGCTGCGTCTCCACCCCGAGCATGCTGAGGCCAGGTGGGCCCTCCCCCAGGAGGGTCCCGGGGACCCCGTCTCTGGGGACCAGACAGTCAGACGCTCCTGGGTCATCTGAGCCCCCAGGTTGCACCGCCCCTGCCCTGCCTGCGGCCCCTGGAGGCGGCTGGGGTCAGCGAACAGGCCGGCTGCCCCAACACACCCGGTTTCCACAGGTGCAGCGGCCTCTCACACTGTGACTCCCGACCGACACGCGACTCCTCCCACACTCTGCCACGCTCGCATGGAGCATGGGGACCCCAGCATGACCACACCCTGACAACGGCCGCCAGAGGACCGTGTTCTCACAGCCAGAGGCCTGGCCTGGTTCCCGGCCCTCGGGCCCGGCTGGTTCCGTGAGGCCCTGGAGGACGGAAGGGAGGAGACGGGCCGGGCAGGGACCACAGTGTGAGGAGACTGGGGGGCTGCTGCGGCCCGGAGGGGACAGCAGAGACGACACGAAGGACAGAGAAAGCGTAAAACGAACGAGATGGGGCCGCGGGGCGCAGAGCCCGCCGGCGGGCGAGGGGCGGCCTGACATGGCGTGACTGGCGGCTTCGGAGGTGGCGTCGGCCTCAGAGAGGACTGCACACTCGGCACATTTGAGGGGCGCCCAAGGGGGACCTGGGGCAGCTGACTGCAAGTGAAATTAACAGACTGAAATGAGAGTAAAACTGTTCTCGCAGAAACAGGCAGGGGGAGCAGGAGGGGTGTAGCCCCAAAACTAACCAGAAGGTGTCCAGCTCGAGCCTCCTTGGGGGGGGATGGGGTCCGGGGGCGAGGCTCCAGGGCAAGGGTGAGGATGGGGGGCCAGGGGTCCCAGGGTCTCTTTGCACCCGGGGCCCTGGACCTGCTGGGCGGCCGGGAAAGCCGAGTGTGGGCTCTGAGGCTGGGTGCGGCTGACCGCAGGGCAGGGCGGGCCCAGGCCAGTGTGCACCCATGTTCAGCACAGCGTGACGTGAGCTGCCCACATTCACACCAAGAAGTGGGACACCTGGACGAAGCCACAGTCCCTGCCCTCGGGTCCCCCACATCCGACAGGACCAGGCGCTGCCCCAGCCAGAGAGGGAGGGATTCACCCGATGGTCCCAGGGGGTACCTGCGAGCGACCTGGGCAGGGGCCCCCCGGCCAGCACTGAGCGTGCGGGGTGCTGGGGTCAGGCCCGCAGGCGAGTCCAGGGGCTTTCGAGCCCCAGCACTGCTGTACCCAGGGAAGGCCCAACGGGGCGGGCGGCCTGACCTGACCGCAGCCCTGCTCCACCCGCCCCTGCCCCCACCCTCAACCTCAGCCTCGGTCTGCGCTGTGAGACGGGAGCAGGACTGCAGACCCTGCCGCACGAGTCCGTGCAGGAAACAAGACAGCGCCGTGGGGCAGACGGGCCCAGCCTCGCTGCCGCCCTGACCCGCGTTCCCGGAGCACACGTGGCTGACGCTGTGCTCTGGGACAAGCCTGCCAACCCCCGCTTCGCAGACTCAGCAGATGCCCAGGCCGTGCAGGCCCCGGCCCACAGCCAGGCCGGCCGGCTCCCAGCCCCCGTGGGCCCTCCAGGGTCACACGCCTGCCCCAGAGCAGGCTTCTAACCAGCACAGAGCCCGCCAGGGGCCCATGGAGAAGGGCTCCTGAAGCTCTGTTCACGGGGACAGCAAGAGCAGGACGAGGCAAGGGAGAGAGACAGACGGACACCAGGCAGGACTGGCACACGGGGTGGGGAGGGCGTGGATCCCCCACAGACCCGCGCAGGGCAGAGGTGAGCTGAGGCGGGCTCGGCGCTGGAGCGGGACCAGCCTGCCTGTGATCCCAGGGGCTCCCGCCCCTGCAGCTGGAGGAGCATCGCCCCCCTCCACGCGCCTCTGCCCAGGTTGGGCACTGCAGCCCCTGGGCACCGCCCACCCGAGTGCCGTGGGCCTGTCCAGGCGCCGGCTTCTCGGGGCTGGCTCCCCAGGCAGGAGGAGCATCCCTCCTGGCCCCGCACCCCCCCTGTGCTGATGGCACCACAAAGACGGGGCGCATGCCGGTTCAGGGCCAGCTGACCACGGAGGGGCGGGGAGAGGCCGGGCAGGCTGCCCTCCACCCTGTGGGCCCGAGGTCTCGGGAAGCAGTCAGTTTCACAGCCTCTGAGAACTTGTTAAGCCCCTGCTCTGTCAGGGGCTCCGTGCCTCCGTCTCCCGACCTGCTTGGTGGGGGGCGGGGGCTTCGGGTCGTCCCGACTCAAGTGGGGCGCGGTGCGGCTGCCCGTTCCTACCCTGCCCGCTCCTTCAGCTTCTTGTCTGTGATGCCGTCCTTGGACACGAGTTTGTTGAACACCAGGATCCCAATGACCATGTTCACCTGCAGGACGGGGGGAAGCAGGTATGAGGGGGAGCCCGCAGGGGCACTGGGGCCGGCCCCCCAACCCCAGGGCAGCACGGGGCTTCGCACAGCCCCCTGCGGGTGAAGAGCTCCAGGGAGGATGCAAAGGCCCCAGGGAGGGGGGTGCTGCCAGCTCACCCAAACTCTGGTCCCCTTGCCCTGTCGTCCCTCCTGGAGCCCCAGTCCCTAGCAGGGGTTCTCCACACCACATGGTCCCACCAGACCCCCAAACCTCCCATGTGACGGGTCCTCAGGCCCAGTGCCACCTCTCCTGGGATCAACAGCAGTTTGTGAAGCCAGGATTCCATCTGGGATGGAGTCCACAGGTCAGGCTGGGGTTGGGGCAAATCAGCCACTGCCCGGAGCGGTCAAGCATGTGAGCAGGCTGGCCAAACAGCCCCGCAGGGCGCTGGTTCTGTGCAGACCGCAGAAGGGCCCGCAGGTGACCGCCAGTCCAGCTGCTGTTGTGCCCAGGCTTACCCTGCGCCCCCGTCCTTAGCGTCCCAGCAACTTGTGTGCGTCCCACAAACGAGCTCACCCAGAGCCTAACCTGATGCCGTCCCGGGACACCCCATCCTGGCTCTGCCTGGGGCCATGCTGCTCTCCAAACCAGGCAGCCTTTTAGAGACCTTAAGGCCACCGCGCCACAAGTCTCCCCCGAACCTGTGACCACCAGGCACCTGCCCCGGGAAGTGCTTCTGGGAGCCGAGGCGAGTCTCATGCTACCGCTCACTCGGCCACCGCGACAGAGACAGGCTGTCCCCAGCATCCCCACCAGCCACCAGGCCCTGGTCTTCCCTCTCCCCGCAATGCCCTGCCCTCAGGCTCCCACTCTGCAGAGGCTGCTTGACCCCTGGCCAGGTTCCCGTGTCTCAGAGACTCTGGGGCCCCGGGGGTCCCTGGACCCGTGACCCTGGGCCCGGAGGTCTGGGAAGGCCGACTCCCTGGGGCCCCCTCAACTCCAAGCGCTCATGGCTGCACGCACAGCGGCAGGCTTGTCCCTGCCTCCTGTCCTCTGGGTGAGAGTGGCTTCCCCAGGTGACCTCGTTTTCTGCCACGGCTGGGGCAGGGGAGGGGACACCGGTGGCCGCCACCCTGCCTGCAGCAGGCTGTGTCCTCTTTCACTTGCGCGTGCCCGTGTTACATGTGGAAAAGACCCTCAGGCTGGGAAAGGCTGAAGGCAGGAGAAAAAGGGGACGACCAAGGATGAAATGGTTGCGTGGCATCACCAATCAATGGACGTGAGTTTGAGCACACTCTGCGAGATGGTGAAGGACAGGGAAGCCTGGCGTGCTGCAGTCCATAGCGGGTCACAAAGAGTCGGGCATGTGTGAGCAACCGAACAACCAGCCAGCATTACAGGAGGGTCCAGGCCTGCCCTACTTGCACTGTGGGAAGGGATGCGGGGGACTCCTGCCTCAGACATCGCCCCTCCCTGGGCCCTTAGGAGGCCCAGCCCACCGACCAGCAGCATTGAAATGCAAAGCACGCAGCCCGGCTCCCTGCCAGTCTTCCAGACTAAAGGAGGAGGCTGGTTGGGGCTGGGGGCAGGGGCCTGGGGGCTGCCCACGGACCCTGCCTACCAACTCCGCTGCCCGCTGGCTCCCCCATCTCCCGTCCCTTGCAGGCCCAGCCTCCCCTGGGTGCCCTGGGCCTCACTTTCCTCTGCCACGTCCAGTCTGCGCCCCCAGCCCGGCTCAGGTCTGACAACGAGGCAGTGAGGCCCAGCCCGGTGAGCAGGACCCTGCAGAGCGATGCCCTTTCCTGGGGGCAGGCGGGAGAGGAGGGCGAGACGGGCTCAGATCTCCAGCCTCTCCCTGCTCACCCGTGACCTGGGGATGGTAACCCTGTGTGCCCGGGGCACTGCCATCCTCACCAAATGGGAGGGAACCGCAGAAAGGAAATGCCAGGCAGTGCGGGGTCCAGCAAAAGAAGGGGCTCCCTTCTTCCAGTGAATGACCAGTAGAGAAAGAAAACCCTGGCGTGGTCGCATCTCTGCTGGCCTGGCTGTCTGTCCCCTCATGGTCACTCACTCAAACCCGCACAGGCCTTCTGACAGGCACAGGGCCACTGCACAGCCACCAGGCCAGCTGCGCCCACGGAAATGAGCCCAGCTGGGTCGAGGGCCCCACCGGCCCCTGCTGACCAGGGTGACCCTGATGGGGAAGCAGACCCAACTGGAGACCTGGCCTGTGGGGAGGCGAGGGGCTCAGTCCAGGCCAGAGGGGCGGGGGTCCGTACCAGCACGACGGCCGCGGCCGGTCCCACGAAGGCGTAGAGCAGTCCCCCCTCCAGGGAGAGCCAGCAGCTGGGGAGGGAGGCAGGCTGGTTAGTGGCCAGACATGACCCCACCCAGGCACAGGCTGGGCACCACCCGCTTCCAGGCGGGCAGGTGCAGAGCCCAGAAGAGGCAGGAGGAAGCGAGGACGCTGCAAGTGATTAATTCTTTGGCTTCGCAACTCGAGGGAGCCCCCAGGCGGCTGACAGGTAAAGTTCACAGGTGGAATCGGTCCAGAGCAGGGGGTGCTGGAAGCTCTGACGGTCCCCCTCCTCCAACTCTCCCCCAGGCCTGGGCTCCCCACCTTGCCCTGCAGACCATCCCCAACCTCACGTGCCGACCCTCTCTTGGCATCACGCTAAAATGTTGGGCTGGGTCCCTGGCCTGGAGTTCCTTCTGCCCACTCACCCCAGACAGGCCCCAGGGCCTCAGCATTGGGCCTCCTGCTCACGGGAGGACCTGGACCCTCCTCACCACCACACTTACTTCCCCAAGTCTCCTGGACACCAGCCAGGGGGGCGTCCAGGAACCCTGAGCCCAGGGAGGGCTGCTCTTCTTCCTGCGCTTTCTGTTTCATCTGCCCTGAGCTTCTGTGCTATCTGCCAAACCCACTAATCTTCTTCCTTCAGAACCCCACTGCAACGTCCCACTCCCACCTGATCTGTCCCCAAGCTGGGTAGACTGGTGTTTCTTCCTCCCAGCTGTGGGGTCAGTGTCCACACGTCCTTCCTGGTACTCACAGCCCCCACCCCCACCAGGGTCCTCCGTCAAGTGCAGGGTATGCCTGCCCCAGGGCCCGGTCACGTCCCGGCCCCCTGGGCTCCCCAGGCAGCCGGGCCTGTGTGGCCCCTCCTCCTGTCGCCGCTCTTCTTCCCCACAACCACAGCCACGGCCTCCCAGGCCTCAGTTCTTCGCCCCCACACCCTAGGAAGCCACACGGCATCCTGGTTTGGCATTCAAGCCCCTGGACCTGGGCCGGCTGAGCCTTCAAGGCCTCAGTGACTTCATCTGTGAGACAGCCCCGCCACACTCCATCCCGCACCCCCCCCCCCCCCCAGGGGCCATGTGCCGTGCTGAGTTGCTCAGTCGTGTCCGACTCTTTGCGAACCATGGACTATAGCCCGCCAGGCTCCCCTGTCCATAGGATTCTCCAAGAATACTGGAATGGGTTGCCATGTCCTTTTCCAGGGGATCTTCCCAACCCAGGGATTGAACCCAGGTCTCCTGCATTGCAGGCAGATTCTTTACCATCTGAACCACCAGGGAAGCCCCAGGGGTCATACAGACTCCTGAAGACCTGGATCCTTTGTCATGCAGACGGGAAAACGGAAGCTCTGAGGGTCTAAGCAGCTGAGAACATGGGGGCTCCTAGCGCCCAGGGCCTGTTTCTCTTGAGCCTGCTGCCCACCACCAGGAGGAGCTGGTGGACAGCGGGAAGTGGGCTACCCTGGGCCTGGCCTCCAGCTCCCAGGGTCCCCGCTCTCGCCAGGCTCTGAGACGGGTGCCCAGCCAGCCCTCACCTTCCAGGGCGGCGGGAGGGTCTGGGGGAGCCGTGCGGCCTCCACCACGTCCCACCCCACCCCAACTCACTAGTTCATGGTGCTGTACCCTCTGGCCTTGGTAAATCCCACGGAAATAGCCACGACCAGCGCAGGGAGCCCTAGGGGAGGAGCAGAGAGAAAAGGTGTCGGGGGGACCCCCACGTCTTAGGCCCGGCTCTGCGGGTGGGGGAGGGGAGGGGGCAAGGCACCGAAGCCCCCGAACAGAGGGTGAGACTGAGCCCGTGAGAGAGGGGACACGAGGTGGACAAGGACGCGAGCCCGCAGGCGGGGGCGAGGGCGGCCAGGTCAGCACACAAGACAGGAGGCCCAGCCACCTCAGGACTTCAGGAAGGAAACGTTTCCCATCGTAAGTACATCCCGGACATCGGCTGGGATAGACTCACACCACCAGGTTATTCCTCACCTGGCACTCAGGTAGAGCCAGGTGACCCCCTGGAGGTGGAGGTGGAGGAGGAGGGGGCCCTGCAGCGCTCACCCCAGCCCAGGCACAGGAAGCGTTTGCGGACAAGGCGGTTCCGCAGGCGGCCCGTCACGGCCATGTAGGACTGCCAGGCCTCGGTCAGCACCCAGCAGAAGGACGACAGGAAGAAAAAGTGCAGGAAGGCGGCCACCAGCGTGCACACCACCTGCCAGGGCAGGCAGGCGGGGAGGCGCTGCTCACCTGGCCCCGGGCCCACGCCGTGACCTGGGCGAGGCCCCAGGCAGGATGCCACCCAGGGCTCACCCGCCCCACCACCGGAGACGGGCTGTGCGCCCTGAGGCCCTGGGGCATGCTCGCCCAACCCCACTCCCAAGCTGCCAGGGACAGACACCGCTGCTTCTTCCTGGCTTCCCCACCCACTCGCAGACGCCTCAGAGGCCGCGGGAGCCCACCCACTCATCCGCTGGTGACCCCGAGACCACACCACAAGGCACAGACAGGCTCGGGGGGCCTGGGACCGACGCTGGGCCAGCGTGCTGAAGCTTGAGCGGGTCATCTCACAGCACCAGTCCCACTGGAGACTCCAGACACCCAGTCCCCACGCCTGGCCAGGGGACAGCCCCTCCAGGCTGAGCTGCGGGGCTGCCGTAGCCAGAACAGTAAGGGCTCTGCCCTCGCCTCAAGCGCCCCAGGGCCCAGGCCCTGCCGCGGAGCTTCCCCATCACCACTGACGGCCATTCCCGGGCGCAGCGGAGGCCGCTCACCTTGTTGCGGGTCTGGGTCTGCCCGATGAGGATGAGCGCGTTGGAGGAGATGATGGACAAGCAGAAGTTGATGAGGATGACGGAGCGCTCCGAGCGGATGTACCTGCGGGCGAGGGCGGGTGGCATGCTCGGTGCCCAGCAGGGTCTCAGCTCCACAGGAGCCGGGTGCCGCGGCCATGAAGGCCGGGCCGCCTCCTCCCTGTGGGGCCCTGGCCTCCACCGCACTGGCACCGCTCCTCACATCGCCGACTCAGCAGGGGCCACGGGGGTCCTGATCACCCTGGGAGGAGGTATTTTGCAAACCACAGGGGCCGCAGGGGAGGGTCCGCTGGGGCGCCAAGCAGGCCCACGGCAGGTCAGGGCGGATGTCCGAGAAGGGGCTGCTGGGAGGGGCGCCGGGTATTTCAGGGTCCCTGGTGCCTCTGCCCTCGGCAGGACGGGGGCAGGGCAGGAAGGCACGGCCTCCCCGCCCACCCCGTAGCTGCATCGACCCCTCCTCGCGGGCCTCGGCTGCGGTCATGCTGCCCTTGGAGCCGACACACTGGAGATGGGGCTGGACCCAGCGGGTGCGGCAACCTTGGCTTGACCCTCGGTGAGCCGCAGTCCCAACCCCTGCCCCTCGGGGCCCGCTGGGAAGGAGTCTGCGCACACATACCCCCACCCCAGGGCTGGTGAGAGAGGGATGGGGTCGCCCACCACACCCCAGGGACCAAGGAACCAACACCAGTCAGACAGCACCCGGGCACGGGGGTCCGTGGTGGAGAGGCCATGCGGCCTGGGGCAGGGGGCCGGCAGAGGCTCCCACCAGACACGTGCACCCAGGCTCAGGGTGCGGCCTGGCTCATCCAGGTGATGACAGGCCACAGACATGGAAGTTGGGGTCTTGGGGCCCAGCAGTCATGGGACAGGGTGCTCAGCTGGTCAGGTCCCACTCAGAGGGCAGGAGGGAGCAGGGAGCCTTCTGTGAGTGGCCAGAGGGCACAGGGCTGGGAAGGAGCAGGAAGGCCCAGCCCCCTGGCTGCCTCCGTGCCCCCCGCTGTCCACCAGCATCCAGGGGACTGCAGGCGGAGAGGCTGGGGGGTGACGACGGAGGTGATGGATGGTCCTAACTGGGAAGATGAGAGGGAAGGACGGCTCTGGGCTCCCAGCCCACGGCCGCCCTGATGGGAGAAGGGGCAAGGCAGCCCCAGCCACCCCTTCCTGGGGACCACCCCGGTACGGGGTGCAGTCATCCCTTCCTGGGGAGAGTCCGCACCGCTCCACCCCTACCCGCGGGGGGTGCCACCTCCCCCGATGGGAGGACGAGTAAGGCAGCTTCAGTCACCCCTCCCGGGGACTGCCTGTCCCCCATCCCCACCGCGGGGCCGCAGTCACCCCTCCCGGGGACCCCCCGCGGTCACCTCCACACGGAGACGTAGATGATGATGAGCATGAGCAAGGTCAGGGACGACACGCCGCAGCCCACGATGAGCGTCACCGACGGCGCTACCACCTTCTCCATGTTCTGTGGGTTCAGGGGACGCAACAGAGTGAGGGGCGGGCAGACCTGCGGGGGACGCCGGGGAGCCTGCCCGCCCCGCACCCCCCGGAGCCCCCACGTCCAGCAGTCCTTGGCCACACTCCCGCAGCGCCTCGAGCAGCCCCCAGCCCCGGGCGGTCCCCGGGGGGGTCTCATCTCCTGCCAAGGACAGGGTCTCTGTCTGCGCCCCCCACTGGTAAAATTGCGTGGCCACAGCGCCCCCCCATTTCAGGGAAGGGCCCCCCACCCCCGTCACAGGCGAGCTCACCGAGGCAGCAGGTCCACACCCGCCTCGGGCAGCTGTTCCTGACCCCATGGCTCTGCAACGCCAGCCGATGGCAGGGACCCGGCTCGGGGGGGAGGGTGGTGCCCTCAACACCCGCCACAGACCCCGGCCCTCCACCCCAGCCCACCCCAGGGGCTCTGCAAACAGCAGCTGCCCCCAGAGACCCCCGCCGCCTCCACGTGAGACCTCCCACGCCGGGTGCCCCGAGTCCGCCCCCAGACTCTAAGCCTGGCCCCGCCGCTCCGTCTGCCCAGATGCCCAGATGCGCCTCAGGCCCCTCTGGTCTTGGCTTGTCCCATCCCAGGGGCCCGGGGCAGCCCTGAGCTCCGACCGGGCCCTTCCCGTGTCTCCCTGTGTGCACCCCGTGTGAGCGTGACCCCCAGGCTTCCGGGCAGCCCGCGGGTGCTTGCTGAGGAAAGATCTCAGTCCCTCTCTGTCTGGAACCCAGAGACAACCCGGGGGCCCTGCAGCCCCTCCCAGCCGCCCCCCACCCAGAGGAAGGAGGGGGTGAGTCCTGGAGCCGGGGGGAGGGGCCGGGGGGTGGGACCAGGGGACAAGGGGTGTCTGGTGGCCCCCCGCAGAGCTGCCCCTCCGTGCCCCGGCCCGAGTCTAACCTGGCTGGCACACTGCTGACCCCGCACGTGCAGAGCGAGCCTCCCGCTCACCTCCTGAAGCCACGGCGGCCCTTCCTGCCCCCAGATGGGACCTTTCACCCTCCTCGGGAGTCCGAGGTCTGGAGGCTGCTGCACAGGCACCCCAGGGCCCACCCACTGGGCGCAGCTGCTCCCGCCTGCTCCATCCTCGGCCGGACGGCCCTTCCCCACACCAGGGCCCCCGTCCCTGCCCCGGGCCACTGCTGGAGGCACCTGTCTGTCCCCCGAGCCTGCTGTCCTCACGTCTGGGAGCCCCCCTCCACCAGGCCCAGCACAGACAGGCGGTCAATGTGACTGGCTGAATGAACAGAGCCGGGGGAGGCAGGCTCCTGGAAAATTGAGAAAGTCATTCAAGGTCAGCCAGGCCATCCACTGTCCCCAGGGGCTGGCCCGGGTGAGGCTCTGGAACCAGCTCCTGCGTTTCCACACGGGGAGCTGGAAGGCCCTGGGGAAGGGGGACTCTGGGCTCTAGCCAGCACCCCTGAACTAGCTGGGCAACCTCGGGGCCCTGGTCAGCGACATAAGTTACGGGTTGCCGAGCAAGCGGCTCAGGCCCGCTCCTAGGCCGCTCCGGCCCCGACCTCCACGGCCATCTGCCTCCATCTGCCCTCGTCAGGCCTGGCAGCCACACAACCATCGGCTGCCCACCTGCCCGCCCGCGCCCTCCTCCTCTCTGCCTGGCTCGCCCGCCGCTTCTGACAGCCCTAACCCCACAGGTTCTCAACAGTGTGGGGAAAGCACAGGTGACAGAGTGGTGGGCAGGGGTCTCAGGGACTTCAAGGTCTTGCTGGGAGGGCTGGACCGGAGACCTTAAACGTAAGAGATGGGCCCCAGTCCACGCGGAGAGCAGGCAGAAGCAGGCCAGCCTCCTGCAGGAGACGGGCTCCCTCGCCACGCTCCGCGCCGCCCCAGGGCCTTCGCACAGGCCGGTCCCCCAGCGCTTTCCCTGACCTCCACGCTGTTAGCCCTTCTCTCAGCTGAGCTGTCATCTCCCAAGTGGCTCAGATGGTAAAGAATCTGCCTGCAGTGCAGGAGACCCGGGTTCGATCCCTGGATGGGAAGATCCCCTGGAGAAGGGAATGGCAATCTACTCCAGCAATCTTGCCTGGAGAATCCCATGGACAGAAACCTGGCAGGCTACAGTCCATGGGGTTGCAAAGAGCAGGACACGACTGAGCGACTCACACTTTCCGCGCTCCTCGCAGTGAGGACTGGACAATCACTCTGAGCTGGCCCCTCATCTCTCTGCCATCCTCTCGCCTTGAGTCTCTGCAGGGAGCCGGCCCCTCCCCCCCAGGCCTTTACCTTTGTGGTCCACAGGGTCACTGTCAGTTTCCACCAGGTGACCTCCCTACTTCCAGTCTTCCCCTAAGCCATCACATACCCTACGTGCCCTGACCTTCTTTCCTAGGCTCTGTCCTTACCCCAGCTCTGTTCCAGTGCCGCACGTGGCTCACAGCCACCCATACAGACGAGCCCTGACCCCAACACTGACTGACTCCTGGTCCCGGTCACACTGAGCCGTGACGCTGGTAGGGCTGGCTGCACAGCTCCAGGCACATCCCAAAAGCGGTGCCACCAGCCGCTGGGTGCTGCAGACCATTTAGCACATGCCAGGCCGTGTGGACGCCGCCAGCACCTCGCCAGGTTAGGTCCCCATCCAGTCTCGCCCCCTCAGATGAGACTCAGAGCGGTTACTCAACCTTCCCGCGGTCACAGCCTGGCACAGGCCACAGAGCCAGGACCTGACACTCGGTTGCAGGCAGGGCTGGGGGGTGCGGGGACACCAGGGTCTCGTCTCCCTTCGCATCCTTCCCCCCAGGATCTAAGCCCTCCCTGGCTCCTGGGGTGTGACCACAGCACCCCTTCTCTTCCGTCCTCTCTGGGGCCCTCGCTCTGGACTCCGCTCTGCACCCCAGGAGTGCAGCCTCCATCGGCTCAGACGGACCCCATGCCCAGCGCACAACCCCCACTTCGTGGGTGCAGGCAGGCGGCGCCCACCCCCATAGCCCAACTCCCCGCTGCCACCACCCCCTGCCAGCTGGGTCGTTCTGCCTTTACGCCAGTGGGACCCCTCTAGGACCGCATCCCTCTTCACCTCCCTCTCTCACCACCCAGCTCCACTGACCTCGGCATGAAGCTCCTGGCTGGAGCCCCTGCCCCTGTCTGGCAAGCCCCCCAGACCCAGCCCCCTCCCCTGCCTCCTGCTCATCTCCGCCTTTCTCAGCCTCCCAGAGGCCGCCGTGGCTCCCCCCACGAGCCGCTGTGAACTCCCGCTCACCCCTCAGGGCCCTGCTGCACGCCTCCTCTCGTGCCTGTGTCCCGAGCCACCCCCGGGAAGGAAGGAGGCTGGTGCGGAGCCACCAGAGCGGCCCTCTCTCCTCCTGGGCTGTCTCTCCAGCAGACGCCGCGCCCCGAGGGCCCAGCCTCGGGCACGCAGAGGGGTGGGCTGCCCGGAACAGCCTCCCTCTTGCTCTCAGCCCTTCCCCATCGGCACCTCTGGGGTCACCCTCAATGGGGCTGGAGCCAGCTGGGAAAAGACAGGAGAGTGGTGAACGCTCTGATGGCAGCTGAGCACGAGGTGGGACGCCCTTCTGAGCCACGCCCAGGCCTTCGGGGCCGCAGCACATGCCCCAGCCCGCTACTCTGCCATCTGACGGGAGGACCCTGAGGCTCACAGCGGTCCATGGCCGAAGCATGGCTCTGTGGCCGCTGAGAGCTCCCGTACCGCGGGATTCAGTTGACTCTTCCGGGACGTGGGGACGGGGTGTTCCGCCTATATGCAGACCAGGCCACCGCAAGCCCCTCTGACTGCAGCTGCTCTCCCCCACCCAGGCAAAGCCTAGACCTCTTCACAGACCAGAGCTCTGCGCTCGCATAAGCACGCTGGCGCACTCACCCTCGGGAGCACCAGTGCCAGGCCAGATCTTCCTAGAAAGGCCTCCTGGGCCTCAGGCTCACCCCTGAGCTCCACCAGCGTCAGCCTCCCACCTGCCCCTCACCTAACACGCTCTCCTTGCTGGGTGCCCCGGGCTCGGCAAGAGACCACCCTTCCAGGATGCGGGGGCCTTCCCTGCTGCAGGCCTGGCCCAGGAAGGTCCCTGTCAAGCGGCACAGCCTTCGCAGTCACCCTGAGCAGCAGAGGCCACCTCTCTTTTCCAGGAGAGGAAACCAAGGCTCAGGGGGACCGAGGGCCAGTCTACAGCCACCACATGTGACAAGCTCATGTTTCAAGATTAGAGTGGCACTGACCTCCCGCGGGCCAGACCTCGGACTTGGGAGAGGGGGTCTGGGCACTGCATCCTGCTCTAGAGCCCCCCAGCGCCTCCCATACCCCCCAAGGCAGCCCTGCTCCGCCTGCTGAAGCTGCAAAGGGGACCCAAGGGAGCCCCAGCGCAGGGGGCTGCTTCCCAGTGCAAAAAGTCACCTCTTCCAGGAAGCCCCCGGCAAGGCCCTGGCTGCTGTCCAGGGCCAAGCCCCCAGAACCAGCAACACCTACAGTTCTGTCATGGGGACAGCCTGAGGGGGACGGCACTCCGGGATCTGGGCCAAGAGCACAGACCCGGGTCCAGCAGCGTCGCCCCAAGATCCTGAGAAAGCCCCTGCCCCTGCCGTGACTTCCCTGCTGGTGGACAGAAGAGTTATAGGCAAAGACCTCTAAGGTCTCACCCAGCTCCTACTCTCCAGGGAGTCCTGGCTGACATCGCCCGCCCTCCCCACATCCCAGAGAACAAAGGAGGGGGCAGACTGCTCTCAGAGAGGCCTGGAGCCATCCTCCACATGGAAACTAGGGTTCTGTGACGGGGGAGCGGTGCCACCTCCATCCAATGAGGGCCAGCTACCCCAAACACCCCCAGATTTGTGTCCCCCTCCCCGTCTGTCCTCCACATCTGCTGCCTGAGCACCCTCCCACGCCAGGCCTGGGGCTCAACAAGCAAAGACCCTACCCCTTCCCTCCTCCGGGGGCCTAGTGATCCAGCTGGGGACCCTGCTTTCCTGGGTCCAGTGAGTGAAACTTGGCCCTGGGCAAGAGCGCTCCCCAGCCCGGGTTGGCTGGGCCCAGCACCCAGGGCCCCAGCCAGCGAGCTGGCCCCAGATGCCGTCGCCATAGAAACTGGCAGCCCCCACAAGAATCATGGGAACAAAAAGGAGGCCCCTGAGATGATGGGGCCTTCCCAGGGAGGGCTGCGGGCCTGGGCCAAGCCCAGCACCCTCTCCAGCCGGGACCCCTACCTGGGGACGAAGGCACCTCCAAAGATCAGGGTCCATTTGGGGTGGGTGGGGAACACCTCCAAGGAGGGTGGCAGCTCCTCCCCCTCCCTCTTCAGGGAGGGCCAGGACCCTGCCATCCGCTGGGGGACGGACCCTCACCAAGGGACAGCATTGACCCGGCTGGCCCTACCAGGCCATGCCTTCCTGCAACCCCAGCGCCCTGCTGGGGCTGCCCATCTCCCCTGAGCACCGGCTCCCTCCAGGGCCCTCGGCCCCCAAGGAGAGTGCGGAACACTCACCCGTCAGTCCCTCCCAGGGGCCCCAGCCTGGCTCCTTCAGGGCCAGTCCCCAACGCCACACCGCCACCCACTCGGCTCCCACCCGCCCTCTCCAGAGGCCCGAGCCTCTCTGGCCGGGCCACGGGGGGCATCGGGGTGCAGCCGCCCCTCCTGGCGCCGGCCTTGGCGGCTACCGTCCTCCCCGGAAGCCCCCTCTCCGCGCGCCCCCGCCCGCCCGCCAAGCGCCCGGCCGGGGTCTCACCGCGTCGGCGCTGAGCTGGGCTAAGATGGCGAAGGTGGAGAGCCGGTCACAGAGGCAGCGCGTCCGGAGGGCGTCGAGGGGCACCGTGCGGCAGCCGCGCCACGACCAGGGCCCGACCTGAGCCGCCCGCCCCCGGGCCTCGTGTCGAGCTGGTGACCTTGGGGCCGCCCCGCCCCCACAGCCACCTCCCGGGCCGGGCCTCTTCGGCCAGAACGTGCCCCCTGGCGTCTGACCCAAGGCCCTCCTGCTGTCTGCCTCTCGGGGTGGCGGGTGGCGCGGGTTCCCTTGAAACCAGCACTTGGTAGGGTCTCAGTGCGCCGAACTGAGCTACTCTGCAAACCAGTCGCTGTTGATCCAAGTTCCCCATCCCCAGGCCGGCCCACTTGTTCGGCAGCATCCAGCCAGGCACGCCCGCAGAAGGTGCCCATGAAGGGTCCGCCCCAGGACCCTGGGCCTGCAGGCTAGGGGACTCCAGGCTGCCTGAAGAGCCGAGACAGAAACGGTGGTTCAGGAGCCACAGCTGGGAGGGGACTCTTGCCCCTAGGGCTGAAAAAGCCTCTCTCCTCCTGCTCACAACTCAGACCCTGAGTCTGCCCGGGGGGAAAATTCCAGGTCTCTGTGGCCAGGGTCTACCCATGGCCAGCCCTAGATCCTTTGGCCCCAGCCCCAGCAGTTGGGAACTGCAAGGAGCCTCCAAAGGCCTCAGCCTGCCTCCCCCATCCCGGCCCTTTGGTATGGGGTGAGTGACTCCGCCCTGCGCCCCTCCAGGGAAGCCACGACCCCTGCCCCACACCAAGAGGGCCTCTGCTCAACACCTGGATGCAAGCCACCACCCTGGGCTACCTCCTGGCTGCATCACCTGGGAAGTCAGGTACCAGCCGGAGCTTCAGTTCGCGCGTCTCTAAAACGGGGAGGGGACAGTCCAGAGGATGACACTGGGCACCCATCCAGCTGCCCTCCTCCCCAACACCTACATGAGAGCTCAGGAAAGCATAGGGGCTCGGCCGCAGGCATCCCAGAACCCAGAGCAGCTTGTGCTGAATTTGAGATGTTACACAATCTCCTTTCTGAGCGTCAGGCCCCAGGGGAGGAGGGACACGCTCTGGGCCTGTTGGAGGCCCTGGAATCTGCTCTTCTCTCTTCACTTCCCCCACGGGGAGGGACCTGCCCCTATTTTACAGAGGAGGAGAACTGAGGCAGCCCAAGGTGACAGCTAGGCAAAGGCCAGGCCTTGGCTCCGAGGGGTGCATTAGGGTTCTGTGGCCCCAGAAGATGCCTCCCCACCCACACTGTTCATCTCTGAAATGCAGGGAGGGGAAGGGATGTCCCTCTCTTGGGCACTGGGGCCTGAGCCCTGGGGGCCAGAGTTTGGGGGATCCAAATCTCTTCCATCTTAGTGGCCCTCCATAAAGAAGGCCACGGGAGGGTCCTGGGAGCTTCTACTTCTTTGGTTCCTGACCACGCCTCTGCCTGAGCCTGCCCGCCTTGGCCCACCTGAACCCCGCTAGCGTCTGCTGAGCTAAGTGGAAGTCACAACCTATCAAGGCCTCGCTTGAGACCCTTCTCCCCTTCCTTCTCTGGAAAAGAAGACCTCGATAGCCACAGGGCCAGAAAGAAGACCTGGGTGATGGAGGATGGGGAAAGGGAGCGTAGGGCCCTGCAGAGTCCTGGGAGGCCCAGCCTGGTCCTCCCGCCCATTCGGTGAGGGGATATCGAGGCCTCGCTCAGCTGCCCCGGGCCAGTCACACACCGTCTCCCTCATTCCCCAGCGTCACACAGGACAGGGGTGCAGAGTACTGGGCCCCAGCTACCCCTGGTCCCTCCCACCCCTGGAGCACCCTGTCCACACCTGGGGTGGCGAATGCAAGCCCTGGACCAGACGCCAAACAGCCAAGACAGTGGAGGCCAGAAGTCCCGAGACACGAGGCGCTCGGGGGGCGGGGGGGGGGTGGCCTTCCGGGGCCGTTCCAGCCTGGAGGCAGCACCTCCATCTCTCACGCTTGTCCGCAATATCGGCCACATGCCTGCTCCTAAAAGCCAGAGTCTGTGGCCAGCTGGGCTGTCCTGGGTTCAAATCTCAGCTCTAATGTCTACCGCCCAGGCATGGATGCTGTCTCGGCCCTCCTCTTCTGAGTAGAGGGGGGACCTGAACCCAGCTCTTCCGCCCACTGAAGGATGTTGGGAGGGTCGGCAGAGGACAGCACCCCAGGCCTGAGGCAAGGGGAGCTGGGCCGGCCGGGGCCAGCAGCCTGGCAGGTTCCCAGGCGGTGCTGGCGGGTCTGCTGGGCGCCAGGCTGACAGCTGCCGGCCACCTCCTGGGAGAAGGCCAGCCCCGACTGGTGGCTGGCCCCACAGGGCTCCTGCCATGGGCACTAATTAGGTTATCAGCCTCCCAGAGGAGGGGAGGGCGAGGGGCACTGCCCACTGCCGACGGGCTCAGCCTCAGACCACGGAGGGCATGAAGAGGCATCTGCCCTGGCCCAGGGAGCCGGCCGCTGGGGTGGGCAGCCTGGGAGGTGAGCGGCTGCTCGGCTTGCCCAGACCCCGCAAGACTGTGGGCGGGCTCCCTGGCACCTCCCGACACCAGGGCCCCCTAGACTCCAGCGGGCCAGGGGGAATGTGCCTGGGCTCCTGACACACGACACAGGGACGGGGACCCACTCCTTGCCTCTGCCCCACCTCAATATTAGTAGCTTCATGTGCATTTTGTCATGCAATCTTTGCAGTGATCCTCAGCTCAACTGTGTAGATACAGAGATCACAGCTCAGAGAAGTGGGGTGATTGCCAGAAGCCACACAGCATGACGACAGAAGCGCCCAGATTCCATGTTTTTATCTGTCTGATCAGCCCGTACCCCCCACAAGGCCTACAGCATCTGAACCGCTGGGCTCTGAGAGGAGAATCTGAAAGGGGCCCTCAAGGATGGTGTACGGCCCGTCCCCAGGGCAGAGCCTGGTCGGTGGAGGCCCTCAGCTGAGCTCTCTCGGCTGGGCCGGGCACAGCAGGGGACCCGCAGGAGCAGGACTGGTGGGCGGGCGTCCCTGACAGGGGGAGCCTCACCAGCATCCCAGGCACACCCACCCTGACCTGGGAAAGCGCGGGCACGCTCAGCCCTCCTCCTCTAACAGAAATCCCTCCTGTTGCCGTGATGCCGTTACCATCTCTGCAACAAGGCAGCTCGTTCCCTGCACGCCCTCTCCCCGACCACTCCATGCACTGGAGACCACTGGCCGCCTCTTCACTGAGCTTCAGAGACGTGGGAAAATCTAGGTCACAGAACCATGCTCCCCTTCCTGGGCCCAGGCCCAGGGAATCTGGGTGAAGGACACCTGGTCCACCCCAGCCCCCAGGTCCAGAGCCAGAGAAGGAGCTGGAGCCGCAGCCCTTCCCGGCCCGAGTGGAGGCGAGGGTGTAAGGAGCACTGGGCCCCTCAGAGCAGAGCTCCCAGAGAGAGGCCGTCTCTGCCCTGTGAGACCAGGACCTCCAGGACACGGCCACACCTGCCCTATCGGACCACAGCCCCCAGGACAGGGCTATGTCCCCCGTATGCACCCTCGGAAAGGTCCAGCACTGCCCACCCCTCTGCAGGCCACCAGTTCCTCACCACGGGCTCCTCCCACCCTGGTCCTGTGAGACCCTGTGTCACCAAACCCAAGGGACAATCCCCGTTCCCTTTACTTCAGACTGAGCCAGCAACCTCTGACACACAGCCTCCGCTGTGTGTCCTGACTCTGAGCTGAGACCTGAGCTTCCCCTGGCTACCCCTAGCCCCTGGGGCCTTGGGGTCAGTCCTGAATACACCCCGCCTCTTCCCCCCACCCCTGTGCCAGCCTCACCCACCAACCTCGCTCCCTGGGCCTCCCGTTCCCACCTCCCCACCCAGCCACCCCCGCCTTCCCCAAGTGGTCCTTGAGAACGTGTCCCTCAGTGGCTATCTGCGGCCTGCACGCCCGTCAGCGGTGCCTGGCTTGGCTGGCTCATCCCCCATGCCCGCAGCCACAGGCCCAGGCCCCGGCTCTCACAGCAGGGCTGTCCTGATCCGTGACCTCCACTGGTGGCTGGAGGGTCCTCCCGCCCTGCCCAGTTTTCCCACCGCGTGCGATGGACCGATGCTCCCGCTTGCGTCCTCCCCTGAGAGGGCAGGAGGGGGGCCCGGTTGGCTCTCCCTGCTGCTCACACCCTGGTGGGAGCAGAGCACGCGGTCGGGACTTGCTGTGGGTGGGCAAGCGAGGCCCTGCTGCCCGGAGGTGACCCCCAGGCCCTCCGCCCCTGTGGCTTACACCTGCAGACCCGCGGGCGTCTGGCCTGCCTTGCGGACGTGCGAGAGTCACTGCTGCCCCCCACCCTGCGGCCGCCACCCAGTGAGACCCCCCCCAGCCTCTGCCCTGCCCTCTGCCGCCTGTCTGTCCCCCACTGTCATTTGAAATGTGTCAGGACACCCTGTCCTCTGCTCAAGACCTCCCCCAGCTCCCTCCTCACTCAGGGGCCCCCTGCCCTGAGCACTCCCCTCCTACCACACTCAGACCGTGAACCCCGCCCGGTGCAGCCCCACCTCACTCAGCACCCGGGCGGGGGCCCCACCTTATCCTGGTGCCCAGGTGGGGTGGCTCAGAGAAGGCAGCCTGGGGAGTTAGCTGGGCCCCACCCAGCTCAGGAGGCCCAGCCAGGGACCTCCCCCGGGGCCCAGCGTGGATGGGAGGAGGCTCAGCCTGTGGTACCCACCCCCCGGCCAGCTCCCTGCAGGGAGGGGGGTAGCACTGGGAGCTGGAGTCGAGGAGCACTGGGGGCCAAGGTACATTCCCCTCTTGGGCAAATTCCCTCCCGGCCACCCAGAGCTGCGGTGCCTCCTCTGTGAAGTGGGCACCAGCGCCCCCCATGTGATGTCCGGGAGACCACAGGCACACTGTGCCCAGCATGGGGCCCTGCGTGCTCCTGGCACATGGGGGACAGTCATGGAGAGCCCGGCCTGCCACCCATGGAGCCAGAGCCTTCATTGTCTTCAGGATGCCTCCTGCCGGCCCACGGAACAGGTGCTATTATGGGACTGTGCCTCAGGGGGCCTGGGGTTTGATGGACTAACTCACACTGGAGTGTGAGTGACTCATAGGTGTCCTCCCACACAGCAGAAAGAAACCAGAGTGGGCACAGATCACCCCAGTGAGAGAACAGGGAGTGGGCAAGGTGTCTCTGCAGGCAGGGGTCCCTCAGCCTGGACTTTGTGCTCCCCAGACCACCCATTCCAGGCACAACCCCTGCGGAGTCTTACGGGACACATCCAGAGTGCCTACCTCCCACCTCCCCCTATTGACCACTGATCCACAGATCAAGGCTTGTGCTGAGCCGACTCCTCCAGGGAGCCTGCGGGGATAAGCAGTGAGTCCCCAAGTGTTGCACCTGGCTCCTTCACCAGGTCCTACCCTGCTGCCGCGCTGGCGCTGCTTTTCTGGGTCCTACCTCAGCCAGCGGCTGGAACTCATAGTGACCGTCAAGCCCTCCCCACCCCCAGGCCTGGCAGCCCCGCTTGCATGTGCCAGCCCAGAGGAACCAACACAGGCGCCTCTCCTGCCTCCAAGTCTCCGTCTCAGCCAGTCCCTCTGACCGCACACTCGTCTGTCCCCCGGCTGACTCAGCCCTGTACTTCAGGGCTCCCTTGAGGCACTGCCGGCTCCAGGAAGCCTCCTCAGACTGAGTTCCTCCTCAACATGAGTTCCATGCCCAGCCCCCGTCTCCCCGTCTGGCCGCTGAGAACCCCCAGGGCAGGCCCAGGTCAGCTCCATCCCTTCTGGGTTCAGGGCCTGGGGACCCCAGGGGACGGATATGTGTCAGGGCAGAGCATGCCCGTCCAGCCTGCACCCCTGCCCACGGGCTGCTCTCACAGTGCTGACAGCGTCTCGGGCTCGCTCAGCATCCACCGGGTAGTGACCGGGGCCTCCGGGGCGCCTCACGTTCCCCACAAAGCTCCGATAGCCATCTCCTGGCTCTCGGCTGGCGCCGCTCCCTCTGAGTCAGGGCCTCCGGCCGCAGGCCCGCCCCAGGCTGAGGAACCAGCTGTCCTTAGGACCTGGTGGTTCTTCACTGACTGACCCACCTGCCTAGGCAAGGTCACCAGGGCCCCTGGTGAGTCTGGGCCTGGAACTCCCCAGCCCTGCCAGGAAGTCCTCTGGCCTCAGCCCACCTGCTGACCCTTGCCGGCTCAGAGTCCATGAAGCCTACCAGAGCCTCGGCCGTCCACTCAGACCTCAGGCCCGCTGCACTGAGGGCCCAGCTCTGTCCAGCCTGTCATCTGCCCCCACCAGCCGGGGGGCCATGCCTTGACGCCCCACTCTCATGCTCCAGGCTGGTCGGTCACTCGCTTTCAGGACGCGAGTCCCTCGCCAGCCTGCTCAGGCCCTGTGCTGGGCACAGGCACCTCCACGGCCGCTTCCTCAGCTCCAGGAGATGCCAGACTCACCAGCCTCAGCCAGCCCAGCTTCGTCTCCTCTAGGACACCCTCTCCTCTGCCCATGCACCCAATCCTCTCATCTCCCCGGGCTGGTGTCTGGCCCTGTGTGCTGCGGTTGGCCTCGAAAACTGTGCCACGGGCGGGTCCTGGTTCCCGGGAGGGGCTTCAAATCCCCCAAAGAGCTGAGAGCACTACCGCCCTAACTGTCACCACGACCTCCACCCTCACGGCTCCCACTGAAACCACCACCAGCATCAGTAACATCACCACCAACGTCATCGAGAACACAATCGTTACCTCCGCCACTGTCACCACCACCATCACCACCACCAACATCAACACCAGCATTCCATTATTAACAGCACCACCAGCTTCAAGAATGACACAGTCACATCACCATATCACATCATCGGACCATCATTACCATTACATCATCACCATTTGTTGTTCAGTTGCTCAGTCATGTCCAACTCTTTGAGACCCGTGGACTGCAGCACTCAAGGTATTTCTGACCTTCACTATCTCCCGGAGCTTGCTCAAACTCACGTCCATCGAATTTGTGATGCCATCCAACCAACTTACCCTCTGTCGGCCCCTTCTCCTCTTGCCCTCAATCTTTCCTAGCATCAGGGTCTTTTCAAATGAGTCAGTTCTTCACATCAGGTGGCCAAAGTATTGGAGCTGCAGTATCAGTCCTTCCAATGAATATTCAAGACTGATTTTCTTCAGGATGGACTGGTTGGATCTCCTTGCAGTGCAAGGGACTCTCAAGAGTCTTCTCCAACACTACAGTTTGAAAGCATCAATTCTTCAGCACTCAGCCTTCTTTATGGTCCGACTCTCACATCTACACATGACTACTGGAAAAACCATAGCTTTGACCATGGACCTTTCTTGGCAAAGTGATGTCTCTGCTTTTTAATATGCTGTCTAGGTTTGTCATAGCTATTTTTCCAAGGAGCAAGTGTCTTTTAATTTCTTGGCTGCAGTCACCATCCACACTGATTTTGGAGCCCAAGAAAATGAAATCTGACACTATTTCCATTGTTTCCCCATCTATTTGCCATGAAGTGACAGGACCAGACACCACGATCTTAGTTTTCTAAATGTTGAGTTTTAAGCCAACTTTTTCACTGTCCTCTTCATCTTCATCAAGAGGCTCTATAGTTTCTCTTCACTTTCTGCCATCGAAGTGGTATCATCTGCATATCTGAGGTTGTTGATATATCTCTCAGCAATTTTGATTCCAGCTTGTGATTCATCCAGCCTGGCATTTCTTATGATGTATTCTGTATGTAAGTTAAATAAGCAGAGTGACAATATATAGTCTTGACGTACTCCTTTCCCAATTTTGAACCAGTAGATGTTGCATGTCCAGTTCTAACTGTTGCTTCTTGACCTGCATATAGGTTTCTCAGGAGGTAGGTAAGGTGGTCTGTATTCCCATCTATTTAAGAATTTTCCATTGTTGTGATCCACACAGTCAAAGGCTTTAGTGTAGTTAATGAAGCAGAAGTATATATATATTTTTTAATTCCCTTGCTTTTTCTATGATTCAGTGTATGTTGGCAATTTGATCTCTGGTTCCTCTGCCTTTTGTAAATCCAGCTTATACATCTGGAAGTTCTCGGTCCATGTACTCTTGAAACCTAACTTGAAGGATTTTGAGCATAATCTTGCTGACGTGTGAAATAAGTGCAGTTGTATAGGGTAGTTTGAGCATTCTTTGGCATTGCTTTTCTTTGGGATTGGAATGAAAACTGACCTTTTCCAGTCCTGTGGCCACTGCTGAGTTTTCCAAATTTGCTGGCATAACGAATGCAGCACTTTCACAGCATCACCTTTTAATATTTGAAATAGCTCATCAGGAATTCCATCACCTCCACTAGCTTTTTCGTAGTGATGCTTCCTACAGCACAACTGACTTCACACTCCAGATGTCTGGCTCTAGGTGAGTGACCACACCATCGTGGTTAACTGGGTCATTAAAAGCATCACCATTGCCACCACCAATACCATCATCAATACCACCACCATTTCCACTCCATCACCACTACCAGCAACACCAATGCCACCATTATGTTAGCAGCAGTACTGTCATCACTACCCCCTCCGCTGTCACCTCCACTGCCAACATTGTCACCATTACCAACACCGGCAGCGGCAACAACATGAACCTTACCACCACCATGCCAGTCACGCCATCACAGCAACACCACCGCTGCACCAACATTATCACCACCACCACTACCACTGGCACATCGTTGCCAGTGCGGTCACTCCTGTCAGTCACCTGATCACCGAGCTCACCAGCACCACCTCCGCTGTGAGCAGTGTCACCGTGACTGCCGTCACCTCTGAACCAGCACTGTGTCTGTGGACTGACACTAGCTGGGCACCGCCATCACCAACACTCAACCCTCCACAGCCAAGGAACTGTGTAGGCAGAAACCATCTTGCAGGAGGTCTCACCGCCCACCATGCCTGTCAATCACAATGGGCTGAACCCAGGCAACCTCACCATCACCATCATCTGATCCTCCACACTGCTGACCACACCCCACCCTCCAAGGTGAACCTCAAGGTCATTTCATCAAAGTCCTCTCTAGGCCAGGAAAGGGTAATGGTCACCATGCTCACGCCACCCTCCCTGCTAACGTGGAAGCTTTCCTGTCTCCTGCACCTCTTGCCATCTGCATCCTGAGTTGGTTCTCTGCAGAGAAGAGGACGTCAGTCCCTGCCAATACCACCAGCAAGCCACTGGGCAGCCTGCGGAGCTGGGGTTTCGATTAAGACTTTCCTGCCTCAGGAAACTAGCAACTGCACACCCCAAGTGCGGGAAAGCACGTGGCATGAGGAGGAGGCTCAGCTCACACCTTCCAGGCCCATCTCAGGGCAGGGACCCCCAGATCTCAGTGGAGGAAGGAGGTGAGCGCCCTCCCCACTTGTGGGCACTGCCCCAGGTGCTCAGGGCCCAGCACTGACCTCCCTGATGCGCCCCCCTCCCTGAGGGCAACTCCAGGCTCTTCCTTATCCCTCACCCCCAGATCAGTGCGGGTGTGGGAGGCAGGGCTGGGGGGAAGTTTCCAGTGGCCCCTCCCAGCTCCCCTGACCACAGGCCACTTGACCAGGGACAGACCATGTGGTTGGTCCACCTGCCCCTCCCCACCTCAGGCATCTTCGCGAGCACCCTGACATCCTCCCGAAACCGAGTCATCCAGCACTGCCCCCACCCGCATCCCGCAGGTCCCAGAAGCTCAGGGCAGCCACACGGTGCCTCCCCTGACGTGCCAGCCCCGACCCCTTGAGCACTCAGACTCACAGCGCTGCAGAAGTGGGAAGGCGAAGGAAGGGAACAGCTGGACTTGACCCCATAGACCCGCGGGAACTGACTCCGCCCAGGAAGGCGCCCACCCCCGTTGAGCACTCGAACACATACACGTCCATGTGTCTGCGATGCTCCTCTCCGGGCAGGCCCCCACCCCCTCCCCAGTGCTCCTTCCAGCAGGAAGTGAAAGCAAGTGGGTGGGGACACTGGACAGGGAGACCCAGGCCCTGCATGAGGAGAGGGCTCACACTCTGATTGGGGGGGCCCACACTCTGCTGGGGGCTCACACTCTGCTGGGAGCTCAC